GGTATTTTGTAGGATAAGTCGAAGGTTATGAGTGAGAGGGTTTAACAGACATTTTGGAGGAGTGTTTTGGGGTATTTGGTTGGTTAGTTTGGTTTTGGGGTGACTGGTGGACATGGTTTCGAAGGCGGCTGGTAGAGCTGGAGCTGGTTTTCAGGGTATTTTAAGGGTCTCTGGGGATCTAGCTGGTGGAGATGCCATTAGGGTGTTTGGTGGGTGAGTATGGGGTCATCAGGGTGAGTAATGGTAGACTTTAGGGGTGTTTAGTGGGTCTGGGGGCAGGTTTAGAGAAATTTCATCTGGATGTTTTTGGGTATTTGTTGGAGGAGTTTGGGGTGATTGGTGGGGCAGTTTTGGGGGTATTGGAGGCATTTGGAGGGGAGCGGCACCATCAGATTGATCTGGTGACCCTTTGGAGGGCCGTGAGCCCCACTTTGAGACCCACTATATGCCTATAAACAGTGCTGCTAACAATGTGAAGTGTTGCTGCCGATACTGTACTTGGACTGCAGTACGATGAACTACAGGAGCACATGTTCATCACTGCTGCTGCTCAGACCGAGCCGTGACAAACCCGTTTCATCCGGCTCAGGTTCTTTGAACTCAAACTCAGCAGTTTCTGGCTTCGTTTCAACTCAAACTTCAAGTGTTGACTCTGAGGTCAGACTGGAGTCACAGCAGAGGATTCTGGGAAGTGTAGTCCAGCGGAGCAGCGCGGGCGGTCACGACTCTGGTGAGCGTTCCACGAATGTCTTTGTCGTAAACTTTCTGGGAAGTTTGTGTTTTACAGTTTCACGTGTTCAGCTCAGCGTCTGAAATGTTGGGCCTGTCGGGGGACGTGGAGATACTGAAGAAGAAGCTTTGTGCTTTTCAGGGGGCAGTTTGGGGTGCTAGGGGCAATTTTGTGCTTTTGTGGGGCACTTGTGGGATGCTCAGGCAGTTTGAGGGTACTGGGGGCAGATTTGTGGGTGTTATTGTTTTAGATGGCAGTTTGGAATGTTCAGGCTGTTTGGGGGTATTAGAGGCAGCTGAAGGGTTGGGGGTAGTTGTAGGGGCGTTAATGGGTTGGGTTTTTTTGGCAGGTTTTGTGGGGTTTTTTAGGGTAGTTTTGGGGTGTTGGGGCAGTTTTTTGTTGTTTTAGGGCAGTTTTGGGGTGTTGGGGCATTTTTTTGTTGTTTTAGGGCAGTTTTGGGGTGTTGGGGCCAATTTTGTAGTTTTGGGGGAGATTTGAGGGTTTGGAGGCAGCTTGGGGGTATCTGAGACAGTCTTGGGGTGAGTTTTAGGGTCTTCGGGGGCAGATTTAGGGACTCTGAGCTGTGCTTCTGTCTGTTGACTCTCAGTCTGAAGGTCAAACTCTCTGATCGGCTCCTGTGATTGGCTGAGGAGACCGTGGGCGGAGCCACACGCACTGCAGAAGAAGCTCCAGGTGTTTGTTCTCCACCACAGAAGAAGAGGAGACGCAGCAGGAACCACAGAAGAAGAGCTGAGAGGTGAGTGAGAGGGTTCAATAAAACTTTATTTAGAGTCCGTCACAGTTTGTCGTTTCAATAATCTTTATTTATAAATGTGCCTTTAAGCGAACAGCGACGCTTACGAGGGCTGCTGATGACACGTGTCAGAGGAAACCTTGTTTTAAGCTGAAAAACCTGAAACTTCCCTTTCAGTTCGTTTGCGTGTGAAAACCCCGAGCAGGTCTGAAGCAGCTGGTTTCTCAACACGTGACACGTGAGCTCCTCTCGGTGGTCGTCACGGTAACCCTGAAGCCCTTTGGTCGGTTGCCGTGGCGATGCTCAGTTATTTTTAGAGCTGAGAATGAAGCAGAGCGACGAGGAAGAGGAAGAGTGAACAGTCTGTGATCTAACGTCTGAATAGTCCCTGGAGGAGCCTGGAGGAGCCTGGAGGAGCCTGGAGGAGCCTGGAGGAGCCTGGAGGAGGCTCCCTGGGTTTACAATTTTTACAGTTTACAATTTCATTCAGCAGATGCTTTTATCCAAAGCGACGTACATCTGAGAGCAGATACAACTAGTTTCTTGAAATGCTCTTGAAGACGTTCTCTGAGTCCTCCAGGTTCCCTCAGGAGGTTCTGACGGTGCTCCATGATGAGGGAGCAGAACCAGGAGCACGAGATGATGCAGTGTGTCTGACTAACGCATCTGGTTTCATGGTGAGGGTTAAAGTCAGAGGGTCACGGCTGCAGCGCGACGAGGTGCAGAAACGCTTTGTGCTGATCCGACAGGGTTCTGGTGGTGAAACACAGTAAACACACGACGGGCTTCGCTGCTCGCCCGTCTGCTGATTCACATCCGTTTATGTCCGTCTGTGGTGGTTCTGGTCACTTTGTTTTACTTTGAATTACTGATCCAGGATATTAAACTGTCTGGCTGATACAGATGTTCTGGTTCTGATGTCACTGATGTCGAGGTTCTCAGCAAACACTGTGAGAACTGTTCAGAAGAAGTCCAGATTAGACCACATGGGCTTCTTTATTACGTAACAGAAGTAAAACATGTTTAAGTCCAGGACATGTAGATAAAAACATCTGAAACAGCAGCGACATCAGACGTAGAGGCGACGGCGCTGACGTTAGACGACCGTCTTCATCGGACCGATACCGATGTGGACGCCGATATCTGGTGCATCCCTGTTTTCAGTCTCATTTTAGCGTACATTTGTAGTTTCTTCCTGCTGTTGGCTTGATGTTCCTGGACCTCCGTCTTTAGATCTTCCTGTTTCTGATGCTGCTGACACGTTGTTTCTTTGTTCTTCTTGTCGACCCTCAGATTTATTGCGGGGCCCTTTGTGGGGCCCCGACCCTCAGATTGGGATGCGCTGATTTTGTAGCTTCACTGATGTGTCTGTTTTTAATGTTCAGCTCAGATTCACCAGAACACCAAACACCTCCAAAACCTCCAGAACCTCCAGAACCTCCAGATGTCTCCCGGCAGGTGTGAACACGAACCTTCTGGACTGAAGCGTTTGTGTCTGTGGCTCCGTCGCTGCTCCCCCTCCCCTCCTCCTCTCCTCCCTCCCCCCCTGGGCGCCCCCCTCTGCTCCGCTGCGTGCCGCCGCCGCCTCCTGCTGGCCGTGCTGCTGCTCTGCGTCCTGCTGGTGGCGCTGCTGCTGCTGCTGTGGAACTACGACTGCCTGTTCGTGTCTGGGCTCTGCTCGAGGGAGGAGGAGGGGGGCGCCGGGGGGGAGGCGGGGTCGTGACCTCACACACCTGCAGATCACCTGAAGCCGTCCTGAACCGATCCTGCAGAGGAACGACCCAGAAACCTGTCAAACAAAACTCTGACAGCCATGAAACGTGGTGACCAGACAGAACCGCTACGACTGAACGGATCCAACAAGTTTAATTATTGGTCCTTAAAATGAAAAAAAAAAAAAGGTGCCAAACCTCCAACCGGGCCGGTTCTGATCCTGAAAGCTCCTGTCAGTGTCTGTCTATGGATGGACCCATGGTTCAGTAGAACCTGATGTGGTGAAGCTGGACCAGACAAGGTTCTGGGTTTTACATGTTCAGACTAAACGTTGATGTGGATCGTTGGTAGGAACCAGAACCTGGAGTTCACAGGTTCTAGGTGCTGGTTCTGGATGTGCAGAGCTACAAGCTGCTGCATGTTCGGTTAAACATCAGAAACTGGAATAACCAGAAAACCCTTTTATTTGAACAACTATTGGAATGTTTGTTCTGAGTCAACGACCGACGAACCGAACCCGAGTTCTGCTGCGTCAGCGTGAAGGCTTTCATGTTCGGCAGAAGAATTCAACCTGTGAACGAATAAAAACCTTTGAAAAGCTGCAACACCAGACTAGATATTCATTTATTTTATCGCTGCACACTTTGTCATGTTTTTGTTGAAGGTATCAAATTACATCTGACTAAATAAGCCCTCGTACCGTAATGTCTGGACTACTGAGCACCTGAATATAAGCCCCGCCCACTGACTTTAAACCACAGACTGTATAACAGATGGACGTAGCTGCCGTGACGTCACCCGTTGGTTTCTGCTCTGAGAACATGAAGCCAGGGTTTTGCTACTTCCTGGTTGACATCTTGGATTTTTGGAGCCAGTGACGCAAAAATCGTGGGAGGGGGGCGGAGCCATAGGAGCAGCGATTGGTCAGACGGATTGAGAGGCGGGCCCTCTCTGCCCCGCCCACATTTACCGCCTGCTCTGGTCTCTAAGCTGCAGGTGTCCACGTTGGAACATGAGATATTTACACAGAAAGATGTTTTAACCTTTAATTAAATGCGTAGCGGTAACATCCACAGATACGTACCGTAGAGGCTTTTTTCTGAACACTTCCTGTAACACGGCTGGTTAAGGAAATAAAACTCCAGCAGCTACCAGGAAAAGTCACTGATGGCTATCTTCATCTTCCTCCTGCACTAAAACCACTAAAGTCGTCTTCTTCAGTGTCCAACCTCCAAAAATCCATAAATAAAATTACCGTAATGTCCGGACTATGAGCAGCCGCTCATAGTCCGGACATTACGGTAATGAAGCTGATTATTGATCCTCTAAACTTGATTTAAACCACAGCTTCGGTGGAACTCTGGGTTCTGATCGTGCAGGTTGAACACGGTCCAGGTGGAACCGACAGTAAACACAACAGAATCCGTCCAGACTTGTTCCGGCAGCAGAAAATAACTGAGAGCAGAACCGCAGCCGCCACAAACCCTCAATTACAGAACTATTCCTGTCTGAGCGGCCCGCTTTGTTCTGAGGAACCACCGACACACTGTCGAGAGTCCACAGCAGCAGCTCAGGATGGAGTCCAACAGAACCACCCCGCAGAACAAGAAGCAGAACCAAAAATAAAAGGTAGGATTAAAAAAAAGATCAGAAAACCAAATTAGTAAACAGAAAAAAAGCAACAAAAGAACTCAGAACCAGAACCAGGATCAGTCAAAACAGGACTAAAAAAACAGAACCTGGATTTTAAAAAATAGCCAGCCACAGAACCAGAGAAAAGAGAACCGGAAACAGAATGAGACCATGAGAACCGGGAACCTGCTGCTGCAGAACTTTGCAGCTCGGCCCTGCAGAACCTCCAGAACCAGGACCCACTTCAACTCAAAGGCTCCGGGTGGTTCTGGAGCCTGCAGCATGGTGAGAACAGCTGAGAGCGTCAGGTGGGACTCAGTGAGAGAGGAACCAGAACCCTAACCTTTCAAAATAAAACCTGAAAGCCGCCAGTGATTTAAATGACTGAACATGTAGAATATTGATGATAAATGTGTTCTGATCAGTGTTCTGATCCGCTCCAGACTCATCCAGCTCACGTCCAGTCGTGTGAATTTCAATTCAATATCAGAGATGAGTCATTTATGGGGATTCATTTGACTAATTCACTACGTGTTGGAAACCCAGCGGAGCTGCTTTTTCATTCATAAAGTTTTATTTCACAGAATTTGATCCCATCAGAGTTTGTTTGCTGATCACGTTTTACATCGTTGCACTAAATCTGCAAATAGTAGAAGAACTGAAGTAAAGTAACTCCACGTTGTTCTGTGCAGTACTCGAGTAAATGTACTCCGTTACGCTCTGCTGGCCGGTTCCAGGCTTTTATTGTGAAGGGCGTGAGGAAGCTGTGTGTTATTGTGGAGGACTTGACAGCAGGTCTCGTGCGTGTGATCAGCTGTTTGCAGCTCAGTCAGGTTGTGTTCGGGCTCAGGTCCGGTCCTGGTTCTGTCCTGCTCTCCCGGTTCTGCTCCGGAGCTCGTGTCCGTCTTTACCGGGTTATTTCCGGCTTCCTTCGTCCCCTTTTCGTCTCTTTCCGTTTGTTTCCGGACAGGAATGTGAGGTTCGGGTCCAAACTCTCGGTTGATTCGCGGCTCCTTCCCGGACACTGACCCGGTTCGACCCAGCGGCTCCCCGTTGGTCTGGACGGACCCAGAGTCCCGGAGAAGATGCGGGTTCTGGTTCTGCTGGCCGTCTGTGTGACCCTCCACTCATGCCGGGGCCTCCCCAGCCGGCTGCCCGCCCTCAGCGCCTCCTCTCCCGGCCAGCTGCTGCTCTCCGACCCGCTGCTGGACTACGACCGGCTGGACGAGGAGCTCGGCGGCGGGAACCGGACCGGCGGAGCGGAGCGCTGCGGGCCGTGTGAGCCGGACCTGTGCCCGGAGACCCGCGGCTGCCGGGCCGGACTGGTGCCGGACTCCTGCGGCTGCTGCCTGGAGTGCGGGAACCTGGAGGGACAAGCCTGCGACCCGGGGGACCGGAGCCGGTTCTACGGGCTGTGCGGCACCGGGCTGCGGTGTGAGGCGGAGCGGCGGTCCGCAGGAAGAGCACCGGGACCGGCGGCGGCGGCGGAGGAGGAGGAGGAGGAGGAGGAGGAGGCGGTGTGCGCGTGTGAGGAGCAGCAGCCGGTCTGCGGGTCGGACGGAACCACGTACATGAACATGTGTCGGTTCCGAGAGGCCGCGTTCTCCAACCCGCAACTGCAGAGCAGAGGGAGGAGCCCGTGCAGGACAGGTAGGCGCACCTGGAGCAGCTGTTTACCTGGCACAGAGGACAAACAAACAAACAAACAAACAAACAAACAAACAAACAGAAATGATCTGGTGGAAAACCTGCGAGTTTCCTTCATTCCACCAGATTTTTTATTTTAACTGATCCTGATTTTTCATCTTAATGCAGATTAAATACATTCAATCACCTGTGATGTGATCCGGTCACCTGTGATGTGGTCCGATCACCTGTGATGTGGTCCGGTCACCTGTGATGTGGTCCGATCACCTGCGATGTGGACCAATCACCTGTGATGTGGTCCAATCACCTGTGATGTGGTCCAATCACCTGTGATGTGGTCCGGTCACCTGCGATGTGGTCCAATCACCTGTGAT